ATGTGTTAATTGATAAAATGCAGCATTTAATACCTCATATTGGTGTATTTAATTATGGCAAAGCACACTAGGGCTATCTGCCTAAGGGGAGCGATGCTTCGTGGAGAACTTTCTAGGGCAAACTGGCTCGTATACAAGTTATACACGGGGAAAACCACGAAAACACCCATGCAGCCAGCCCGTTCGCGGGATTCGAACCTCGGACCGAACTACCAGTCTTCAGCGACTTTACCGCTCGGCCGCTGGTGGCCTTTTAATACCTCATAGAATCTTTTTAGACAAATGCCTTTTAAAGTCGATACCTTTTTCTTCTTTTCTCTGCAACCGGTTATTTTTTTCGTTAGTTATTTGACCCGATACAAAAAAAAAAAAAAATCAAAATAATTGTCACGTTTAATTTTATATCTAAATAATTATTAAATATGATAGATTGTCATCATGGCATATTTAATAAAATCTTAGCCATTCAACTACGATTAGTGAATTCTATTGTCTAACTAACAAATATTTGCTTATGTTTATAATATGCTGAAAATTAAAGTATAAGGTATTTCTCCCACTTTCCTAGCTTGCTTTCGTGATGTAGTAGTCGTTCTGCACACTGGGCCGGTATTCCAGAAATCTGTGGTTCGATTCCCGGCGAAGGCGTTTGCTCATTTTTCATATTTCCCGCTTCCAATTAACCTAATGACTCTACAAAAGAACCTACATTTATTTTGCATGAGTAAATTTTAATTTTTCATAACTGTGTTTCCTTCTTCATATATTTATACACTTATTAGCGACAGCGAATTAAAATGTAAATGAGATAAGAATTTTATAAACATAAACTAAAAAAAATTTAAGTAGAGGCATTCATGGGGAAGCACAGAGCATCAAAAATTAATTCTATACTAATTTTCATTTTCATAATTTAGCATTATAAATATTAGCCTAAACCTATAATTATGTGATTAATTCACTATTCCTTGTATGGTGAAAAAAAGTTGAATGTTGATTAAAGCTATTTTCTAAAGTAACTTGCCAATGTTTCATGCTAGTGAAATATTAGCAGGTTATTAATTAGCCTAAACCTATGATTATATGATTAATTCACTATTCGTTGTATGGTGAAAAAAGTTGAATGTTGAATAAGGCTATTTTCTAAAGTAACTTGCCAATGTTTCATGCTAGTGAAATATTAGCAGGTTTGAATGCTTAAATGTTAATTCTCATGCAAGATTACTAGCCATTTTGGTGTTTATTAATTACAAACGAAATTTACAGTACATAAAATAGATTTTTATTGATTTTTTTTATAAAGTTTGTTCTGCAGAGTAAAATTCTGCGCGGAATTTTATGTTTTTTGAGTTGCTTTCATGTTATTTTTTGCTTATTTCACTGTTTGTAAGATATTGAAAAGTTTTGCATGATTTTTTTTTCTTCAAACGGAAAGTTGGTTAATTTTTTATTAGGATAATTAATATTTGTATTAAGGGATATAGCTAATTTCATTTTATTTTTTTTTCTCTTGAAAATATAAGATAAAATATCATTAATTATACTGTGCTTTTCAGAGTTTTTTTGTTTTTTGTATTCTTATGTGTTATTTATTGCTCATTTCACTGATTTTTAGGATATTGAAAAGTTTTGAGTGATTTTTTTAGGAAATAAAGTTCTTAACCTCCTTTATACCATTTGAGTTCTTAAGATTTTGCAAAGGGAAGTTGGTTAATTTATTTATTAGGATAATTAATATTTGTATTAAGGGATATTGTTTGTGATAACGTTTTTTTATGAAGTTGTTCTGCAGAGTAAAATTCTAAGCAGTTTTTAAATTTAACGTTTGGTATTCCCTTCAGCCATTTTTCCGGTACATTTAAGAATTAGACGAAGGCTGGCAGCGAAGCTGCTAGTAGTTAAATATATACTTTACTTATTTGTTTCATTTTATCAATTTATATTTTAACTGTTAAAAATAGATGATTTCGTTTAAGAGATTTGAAGCTTAGAAAAGCTTGGGTTTATACTTAATAACATCAGAATAACGGAATATAATTTATATCAGAAAACTATACTTATTTCGAAAACAAGAAAAATTTCCGTTGCTTACAATTCTAGATGAATGCAGCTCTTTTCATGAGTATTTTATTACTGTTTGAAACAAAAAGAAGAAAGAAAGTCCAATTACACATTTACTACTTTTTCATACTTCTTTATTCGTTGCAATTAAAATGGTGTGTAATATAAAGAATTTAAGGAATATCATATATTTTTAATATACTATACAAAGCTTAATGTATATCAAATTATTATAGAATTAATTTAAACTGAAGAATAGTCGTCAAGTAAAATCAAAAATAAATTATACAAATTTTAAGTGACAAAGAAATGGCCAAACAACTTCGTTTGGATTTTAATCAACCATTTAAAATTAAGCGAAAGAACAAGCCCTAGTTTGGTATGGGTTTCAAGTAACTCTATCGATTCTGTCTGCGATCAGACACAAGTTCAGAACAAAGAAACAGACAAACAAATTCTGGAGATTCTTTTTCATTTCTTCAAGAGAAAGAAAATCCTTGAGAACATTTATGCCAAACCTAAGGTTGCTTTTTTTTATGCCTTATTTTAAATTTTAAGTTAGTTTATTCCTTCCTTTAAGGGTTGCTCTCCGCGTATTGTGCATAAGGGTCCAACATGGGTCAAATATTTTCCAGAAACATTAAAAGCAGTTCATAAACGAACCTTTTCGTTAAAATACCATGGACAGTGCATAAAAAAAATGTTTAAGTTTTCCAAATTAAAATGCTGGAAAGTGCCTATCTATATTTTTCTAATTATATTCAAATTAAATTAGTTACATTCCTTTTCTATTCTGAAGGATATATTCATACTAATTAGTTACATTCCATTGTTATCTTAAAGGACATTTTTCTTCATCATTTAATAATGTTATAATTCTGTTAATATTGTCAAAATAGCCGTAAGCAAACGTGATCACATTAAGCGGCTGCTGTATATTATTATCCGGACAATTTTATCAATCAAAATCATTTCATATAACACAAACACATTTTAAAATTAATAATAAAGTTTCAAACTTTCAGACTATAATTAATTAAGTATAAAGTTAGTGTTAGTTATAGTGTAGAGGTTACTTTAAGTTCCTAACAGTAATTTAGCTTACGCATGCTTTACTGTCTATTCTCGTTTCCCATCCAATATTCCCTACCAGAATGAGGTTTTAATATCGTGTTTTAAGCAAACGAGTTAGAAGGAATACTTAAGGGAAGTTCAACTTACTTCGAGAGAGAGTTCTTAGGAGTCCTTAGTGGCGTGTGTTTGCCTTGTGGCTACTTTGTACTTGAATCTAATACAACGCTTGGCCGTATAGTATGTGCCTGTTGATAATCGCCGGCTAAGTTAAAGTAACGGTCAACTACATTAGGTATTTGCGCCTGCGCCTAGCTTCGGCTAAGTCTGTTTGGTTTAGTATTAGATTAGTTGCTAATTTTCTTATCCCGATGTTAACAGCCCGGGAAGGGAGGCATCTGTTATTATTTTTTTGAATTAATAAAAGGTTATTTTAATCCTTCTCGAGACTATGTCGTAAATACTTGAACTGAGCAATAATTCGCTATTTAGTTCACTATACTCCTCTACATTTATCATAGACAAAGTACTGAGCGGACATTATAAGAGATTCAATTGACACTTCTTTCGATAAAGTTTTGATAAAAATCAAGAGAGATATATGATAAGGAGTTAGTTTATTCAATGTTTTGTTACCTAAAAAAGTCTACAACTCTTCATACTTGACACACATATAATAACATCTATAACAGTTTAATAAATTCTACAATTGTTCACACTATAAACATGTGTTTTTATTCTACTGGGGCTTCCATTCTTGTTAAATGAATAAAAAGTATGCCAAAATTACTCTGGATGAGATAGAAAAGAAAATAAATCGTGAAGACTTAAAATTTTATCACGTGACCTCAAAGCATTGTGGCATGTTATAAACACAATTAAAGATGCTTAATTATGAGTGCCTGGTGTTCATGCTATAAAAACTGAATGTTGATTTATTGGCATGTTCTCCGTGCACTAGCGAGAAACTTGAAACACCAAGCAGCTAAAACTGAAAATACTTAAAGAAATTTATAAAATATTAATGCAAGATTTTCCCTGTTGTGGCAAATACTAAAATGACAAGAATTGTAGAAAAATTTAATGCTGATTTATTCGCACGTTCTCTTCTCAACTAGCGAGACACTGGAAACACCAAGTAGCTAAAACTGAAAATGTTGAATGAGATTTATAAAATATTAATGTAAGATTTTCCCTGTTGTGGCAAATAATAAAGTGACATTCTTTGTTGAGTGAACTGTGTAAATGTTTTGTTATGAAAATTAAAGGTGAATATGATATGATAAACAGAATCATGAAAGCTTAAACTGCAGAGTATTCCATATGAACGAAGAAATTTTCAAAAATTACTTCATTGTTCATAACAAACGGTTTTAGAAATCAAGAAATAACTGTTTTGCGAACCGATATTGAAATTTATTTTTTTCTACTCATGTCCAAATGAGCTACACATTAGTTTTAGATTTCAAATTCATGAAGAGTTTTCTCGCTCTTAATTATCAATAAAATGGGTTTGGAAAATAATTTGAATTTCGACATAAGGCAAAAGTGAATATAATCGAATTCGATATATCGAATAAAGGTTAAAACTGTTAAACAAAAGGTAACGTAAGTTATGTTATTTTTTATTGACACAGTAATTATATTTTTCTAAATGAACAGTTATACGTCTGAAATTTTATAGCATACATTTCATATTTTTATTTTTAATTAGATTTTATATCCTCATTATTAATGTGTTTTAGGTAACAAAGAATATAATTCAAAATGTCTTGAGTATTCTAACTAATGTAAAAGGCATTCTCAATCCATTACAATTTAAATTAATTGATTTTAAACACTTTTACAAAAAATATTTTTTTGCTTACCCAGGAAGACGATTTCAAATTAAAATCTTTTTCTTCTGTGTGAAAGTGATAACAGATCAAGAGGCTATAAAAGAGAATACTAATAATAATTAATAAATAATAGAATTCTATTAATAATAATATTACATCTAATCTATCGTTAATAATAATAGTACTTCTATATGAGCAATGTTAGATTTCCTTAATTTTTTTCAAAATCAGTCTTAATTTATTAATACGTAATTAAACAGATAAATTTAAAATGGCTATTATTTTAATATGAAATGAATTAAATTGAAATCATGAATAAAATCTATTGATTAGAAATTTAAATACCAATAAAATTAATTAGAAAAAGTTAGTTTCCAAAGACATTAAATTATTTTGCTCTTCAAATATTAGTTCTTTTAATTTCGATCTTACAATCGTATTTTAAAAAAGAATTTTAAGGTGGTTTTATTCAACTTTATTCCTTTATAAGGTATTTTCTCCCTCGTTTCTGCATGCCTTCGTGGTATAATTGGAAGGACACTCGACGCATGAGGTCCGGAGTTCGAATCCCGGCAAAAGCATTGCACATTTTCCACATTCCTGCATCGATAACCTAATGATTCTACACCTTTAAGAAATTTCTTCAACGTTTATTTTACTTTATCAAGGAATTTCACCAGAACACAGATGTTTAGATAACAATTTGCATAAAATTTAGCTGTAATTAAATTGCAATTATTGCAAAGAGTTACGAAAACAATTGCTTCCGCAGTGCACAAAATTGTAACGAAAGGGATGTAAAATATTTATAAATTTATAATCTGTGATGCATTCCAGGCTAAAGAGAAAAGGAATCTTACGTTTTTTAGAATTTGTCTTACGATTTTCAGTATTAGTGTTACATTTTGTTATGAAACTTTTGAATGCTTTTGATATATTTTTTTCACAGAATGGTTTTGAAGTATTCTTGATTACTTATACTAATGAACTTAATTTTAATATGGGAGCATATTATTCCATAAACTATACACTATTTTTGATTAATTGTATTAATGGCTTAGAATTCCATTTCCGATGCATCATTAGTAAACACAAAGAAAGGCACTGAACTCTGTGTTTATACATGAAGTTGTTTAAAATGTTGTTAACGCGACGTATTTTAGAATATAATTGGATTATTTTACTAATTGGATAATTTCACTACGTACACTAGGGATAATTGCTTGATAGAAATATTTTAGCTTTATTCTATAGAACTGCACTAAATCATTTAATAATTTTCAGGCAAAGTCACTTGAAACATATTATTAGGATATTATTTTAGGCATTTAGAAATCCCATTGCAAATTAGCGGTGGTTCTTTGTAGATTTCCATTGTTATTTTTTTATCAAAACGTATAATAACTAGAAAACTGTGACAATGCGGAATGAATCTCGTGGTAATCAATTTCACATTGCACTAAGAAGCAAATATACGCGCAATAAATATCCAAAGTGCTTTGCAGTGTAGTACGTAGATCATCGCTCTCAATAAATACTTAATTCATTATTTTTTAAAACTACAGTGAAACAAATTTAGAGCAAGATTAAATTTAAAATACTACAGTTCAAAGGTAATGCAATCAAAACTATCGGATATTGATGAGCCTTATAAATCTTGACTAAAACTATTTTAAACTTTCATTTCTAATCACTCGTTCTGGTATATATTGCAAATGTTGCATCCATTAAACAGATTGGAGCACTTCTTCGTGCATGCCCCTGTCTTACCAACCACCTTACGGTCTAAGACCTTGGTATCCTGAAACGAACTTTGAACATTTTTATATCCGATCCCCGGTGTAACCTTTTAAGAAAAGCCGTGCTTCTTCCACTTAGTAGTGGCTGGCGTACGTGTCGGTTGTAACAATGACACCACGTATATATCTACCGAACAGCTCGTCTCCCCATTCTTATCCACACACCGCGTTAACAGGAGCTTGCTTCAATTCTTAGTGGCTAACGCCCCCCTCCCTTTACACTTCCTCATAATTTTGGCGCCCTTTCTTCGTCTTCCCTCCTCTGCCCTTCTTCAGACGAAACGATTTTGAGTGCCTTCCTTTTAAGTATTTTGATGGCATGCTTCGGAACAGACATAACACCCTGGTCTGAAAAGGTTTGCCAAAATGGTTTTCGAGGGTGATCTTTTATTTCACGGTGTTTTTTGTTTTATTCGATCTTGAGAGTAAAGATTTTAACAAAATTGCATTTTTAAGAGTAGGGTTTTTTTTACGTTATTCCGAGTAAATTAGTTAAAATTTTCACACTGCAGCCTAATAACAATGTTATTAGTTATTGAATATATATTTGGTTTTCGCTAAAGAGATTTCCATTACATTAATTCGACTAGGAATTCGTGTGTTTTTAATTTTATACTTAGATAAGCTATTTTCAGTTTCTCTCTAAAATTATACTGTTCGTTTCACTGTTTTTTTAACCCTACATGATTACTATTTCCCAGGAGAACAATTTAATAACATGCTCAATTTTATTAGATTTGTTATAGTTGAAGCACTAAATAATTTTTTTAATGTATAATTTTGTGTGAACTATCTCCATTCATTAAAAATTCATCATTTCTCTTCTTGATTACTTTGACAAATAATGAATGCTATTATTTTAAAAGAGAGGAAACGTTAATCTAAAAATATATTTTGAAATAATACTCACATTAATAAATAAACTTTATTTATCTAAAATTTGTGTAACAGAGTGCGATAACCCTTTAATAGGGAATGTTTTATTTTACAACCAAAGAATTATCTTATTTTGGAGAGACCTTATACCATAAATTCGTTTTCTCTGCACAATAGTACGGTTTTGCAGAAACTCATTCCTTTATAATTCAGCCTTATTCAAAAAGTGAAAATAAAGCAGAATTTCTAAAGGGCTTATCTTCTAAATTTACACGCATGAAGTATACGAGTGAAGTTTAGGAAAATATATGAAATAAAAGGAAATCTGTCTAAATCTTACATTTATATATTTTATGAACGTTCCTTAAACTATACTATACATCAATATGATAATTGAATTAATGATCTAATTGATCCATGACAATCTTTGTAACTATTGTTTTACAACAATAACAAAGCAGTTTGTGAGATCATAAAAGTTTATGGGAAAAGGTCACGTGAACGCAATTCTTTAACGTGCCCTTCAAGGAAAAGATTGCACGAAGTAATATCTTGCTGACAACTATAGATGGAATAAAGTCATCGAAACCTGTGATATATGTGTGTTGGAAAAGTGCATTTAGTAAACAAAAATATCATATTCGACAACAATAGATTGGTGATAATTCTAAAACATTTGAGATTTTGTTTCTCATTCTATGTACATCGGGTTAATACACTATAAATCAGCTCATTTTAAACGGCATGATTCATTTTAAATAACGCTACTTTAGTGTCCTAAAATTTAATTTCTCTTTCCTTCTACTGTGAAATAAAACGAATACAGTGGTAAACACGACATTTACATATATTTTAGTTGAGGTATTGTTTAACAAAACATTTTTTAATTTCGTTCATCTGTGCAACATTTCAGTCAAGCGTGTTCCTCATGTCGGCTGATAAAAAAGCGCTGTCAGCAAATAGTCATAGCAGTTTAACTACTTATTAGATAGATAAAAGACGAGAATCTACTTGTAAAATCATTCAAATCTAATTTAGCAATATTTCTTATATAAAACGCATTATTTCTATAAACAGTAATAAATTATATTAGCATGGAAGACACAAAGTATTTATGAACATAGAAGACGTTAAGTAAAAAATTCTTCAATACGTAGAAAATGTATTGCAGAGTCATTAGGATTTTTGAAGCAGAAAAAGCGAACAATGAGCAATGCGCTCGCCATGACTCGAAAATTGGGCCTCTGGAATACGGGCCGACTTTGCTATCGTTACCCCACGAAGGTATACAGAAAGAAGGGAGAAAAGATAGAATACTAGAAACAATCTCTGTAGTAATCTAACCTGTGCTTATTACTTATAGAGGTGGTAATAACTAAATATACAAAAACATTCAGACTTTTCGTAGTAGTTCCTTTTTTAAGAAGACTGATTCAGAGAGTGACTGATATTTCGGAGAACATAAATAAATGATAGTTCTGAAGATCGCGCATTATTATGTTAAGAGGATCAACCCCAGAGAAACGCAAAACCTTTTGCTCATTGGAACGCATCATATGTAGTCGCTAAATCAGCCTCACATTAAATTTAAATAAAATGTCCGAATATCCATAGCATTTTATCGAAATTAACTATATCATTTATGTTCTTAAATAAATTTATCAATAATTCGTAAGTTTTTATTTAATATTTTGTTTTTCCATTAACCAAAGTAGATGAGTAAAGTTCAGTATTTAATTTTTCTTTTGTATTATTTTGCTGTTACCGGAAGTTTTTGAAAGTTTTCTTTGTTAAGTGAACATAACCATGATATATATTTATAGATGATTATCTTAAGTCTACTATGCTTTGCATTTCTCGTTAATGCTAATAGTATAACTTAAAATAGAAATATTTCACTGCATCTGTAACTGTAAAGAATATATATAATCTTTAGCAAAACTACGGTATCTTCATTTTAAAACTCTAAATGAAGATCATATAAGATTATAAACTAAACATAGTGACATAATCATAACATCTGCATTACTGAAAAGGGAGTTACAAAAGATAAATCAAAACATATTGGAAATCCGATGTGGCCACGAAATTGGGTTAGTTATCGTCGCTTCCCCACAGTTTAAAGAATATACATGCATAAATCGTGATAGCATTTGGTGACAGCAATTTGAAAAGTGATTTCGAATACAAAAGGGGGAGTCAGATAAAAAAGGAATTTCCAGAATAATAACTTTTCTGCTGCTAATAAGAAATATGTTTTCTAGCTGTCTTTCTAGCTTTAACTTCAAATTATGAATATTTATGCGACGAGTTCTCGAAAACACTAAACAAAATACCTTTTTATCTTAGTTAATCTCTAATAAAGTGATAGTAAACGTATATCTCCCCTCTGATGCAAATGATCAAATTATTATATATA